TACACTTAAAATTAATTTCATTTCGGTTTCATCTTCTTCTTGATACTTTATTTTATAGTTATTTCAAATAACTTAGATAGATTTTTGTTGTGAAAGCAAAAGTAAACACACGAAAGTTCGCATCAATTTTCAATTTAAATTTATATGAACATTTTGTTATTGATTTAAAGTAAAGTATATATAGTATTTTGTTGAGTGTACGCGTTAAATAATGAATGTGAAATAATTGTGTAAGTACAATTGGCTTGTCATTAGCATTTATTCTCAGTGTTTGACGATATTCAACTAAATATTAATAGAAAACAAGTATTAACAAAAATATATAACAAAAATTACATACAACGTTTTCGCACACAACGAACTTAAGTTCTCTTCTTTTTTTGTTTTTGTCAATTGTTAGATTATTTATATATATATATATATGTGTATTTAATTTAACTTTTTGTACCTGTGCACAATTACACATAATTCACGTTTCTATTTTTGCGTGTTTGAAAACTTTGCTTAGAAATTAATTTATACAACGAAAAAATGAGCACAAATTAAGAGAAAATTAAACAATTTTACAGCATTCAAAAATGTATAAACACAAAATTACATAGTTATATATATATATATATGTATCGTACATACACAAGTAGATTTTATTTTGTAATTTTAATGAAATTATTTTTATGTACATTAAAAGTTGTTGCTTTCAATTGTTGTTACTTTTTTTGCTGTTGTTTTCACTTTTAACGCTCTAAATGCAAAATGGCGACATGTGTTGTTGTTTTTTTTTTTTTTTTTTAATTAGTTTATGCATTTTTTGCTGCACTTACGTTTTTACAAAGAAATTATTTTAGGCCGCTTTTTGTCGAAAGTTGGGCCTAAAAAATTTTAATTTTTTATGTTTCGCTCTAAATAAATATTTATGCAAATATCTGGTTGTTTAATTTTTGTTTTTGTTTTTTCAATATATATTTAATGTTCTGCCTTATGTATTTGTTTTTTTTTTCTCGTGTTAAGTTTTACATAAAAATATGTTTTGTTTTTTTTTTACGATTTTTTTGTTTTTTTCTTGTAATTTGTAGCCGAAAGTTTAAGCCTAAAATTGTTTATATGCTTAGTTTTTGCGTTAATGCAAAAATTTCTTTAAGAAAGGTTTTTTTGTTTAAGTTGTAATTTTCTTTTTTACATATTTTGTTTTTATAACCTTTGTGGTTTGCGCTTTGAAATTGAATTTAAATTTTTTTTTGGGCTGTCAACGAAATTTATTTTTGTTATTCCTTTTTTTTTGACAGTTACGCGTAGCTCTACCAAAAGTATACTGTTATTTAGCATTTCTTTGTGAGTGTGTGTGTGTTGAAATTTTAAGTTTTCATAATTTTAATAGCCTTAAAATAATTTCTTTGTATTTTTTTCTCGTGTGTTGTTTACATATTTTTTAGTTAATAAATGTAGAGTTTTGTTTGTTTTTTGTTTTGTTTTTGTTTTTGTTTTGTTTTGCCTCTTTCAGTTGCTTTGCCGAAATTGTATGTATACACATTGTTTTTGCTTAGACACATATACATATTAAAATTTTAGTCATAGTTCTAGTTAGTTAGTATAGCCAAAGATTGTAACTTTACATTAAATGTTCATAATTTTTGTTGTTTGTTATTTGTTGAAATTTCGTGTTAAATTTAGCGCATATTTACAAAAACCTAATGCCAAAAAAAACCTCTGTTTGCCAAAGTTGTTGTTGCGCTTCTTCTTTCTATTTTTTTTTTTAACAAATAAATTTAGTTAAGGTTTTTGTTGTTAAGCCAAAAAATGTGTTGCAAATGAATTTGTTACTCTTTGTTTTTGTAAATATTTCGAAATGAAAAGCCAAAAGTTGTATAGGTGTGTGTCTGTGTGGTGTGTGTGTGTGTGTATGTGTGTGTGTCGAACTATCGATCGATTTACTATGCAGCCTGTGTGTCACCATTTTACAAACAAAACTTAAAGGAAATTTGTTAAGTTTTTGTATTTGTTTTTGTTTTTGATTTGTTTTTCTTTAAATTTAAGATATATTTGCTATATGCGCAGTCTATTGGGGGCCCGTTGAGGTAGTTTCGTTAACTATTGCAGTTCGATATTTTATTGTTGTTTTGTAATTAGTTGCTATTGTTTCTTGTGTGTGCGTGTGTGTGTGTGTTTGTGTGTGTGTTTGTGTGTGTGTTGCAAGTGTCTTTTGCATTGTTGCGTAAGATTAACATCATATTAAAAATAAACTAAAACGAAAATACATAACTAAGAACTAAAGCTGTGTGTTTTTATTTCATTAGCATCTTTAAATTAAACTTTGACGTTTTCCATATACACATATATATATAAATATATATATATATATATATAGTATATATATTGTTTGCAGCTGTTTGCCAAAAACCATAAGGAAAAACAAAGAGGTAGTTTCGATTCTGAGGTATATGAGTTCCTGAGTTTGATTTACATACATATATGCACATATATATATATATGCACAAGTCTAAACATAAAACTAAGTGCTAAAAACAAATACCTAAACATACCGACGACGAGATATAAACTATTTAGTAAATATATTATATTTTCAACATAATATGTGTAATGCAATTTTTTGCGCCTTCTGCCATGTGCCACGCCCCGCAGCTGTGCTGGCGCCACGCCCACCGACGGCAACGTACTTAAAAATAATATGTAATTCAGACTCCAGAGAACGTTGCGCCGGCAGGCGGCAGGCCCACAGTGTGGGCGTGGTCAGGCTTTGAGCGAGGGGGAGGGTGGGGTGGGGTGGTAGGATATGTAAAGCAATCGAAATATATTTTGTGAATTCACATAAACTTTCACTAAAAGACTTGGTAGTATTTGTAATTTTTTAAAAATTAAATTATTGCAATTATTTTTCAATATTTTCTCTTCTCTTTCTTATTGTTTGCTGTTCGATATATGGTTAGGAAAAATCAGGATCGAAGAACTATATAAAACAAAATTAAAAGAAAACAAAAACTTTGCAGCGCCAAACGTGGTTCGGACGCTGCTCATCACAGAACAAACTGGGTTTTTGGGTACATTACGTAAGAACTACAGAAAGAAATGTAACGGTACCGCATGGTCGTTCTATGCGCTTCTCAGAGTCTGTACTTGCGCGGCCTGCGGCATGTGTGTGTGTGTGTGTGTGTGCGTGCGTGTGTCTTGTATTGGATATATATATATATTGTATGTAACTAGATCTTTCATATACTTTAACATTTGGCTATTCCGTTAATTGAATACTATTTGAGTGTTTTGTTTTTGTTGTAGTCAGCTATTGTAGTGTATGAGTGTGTGTATGAGTGTGTGTGTGTGTGTGTGTGTGTGTGTGTGTGTGTGTGTGTGTGTGTGTGTGTGTGTGTGTGTGAGTGCGTGTGTGTGTATCACCCTGTAGTTATATGTAAACAAAAATCTTGCACTATTGTGTCAACTTAAAAAAAAAAAGAAATAAAAGGAAAAACTTAAAGAAAAACTAAGAAAAAATGTACTTGCAAGCAACTTTTGGCGAGCCTATGTGTTCCTACATATGCGCTTAATATATATATATATATATACATACATACATATGTATATATATACATGTAGATCCTAACTTTAGGCATTTAATATGCTTTTACAACTGAGCCTTAAACTCTAAACTGTGTGCGTATGTGTGTGTGTGTGTGTGTGTGTGTATTTTTAACTATATACAGTGCCACGCCCACCTGTTGGCGTAGGCCTTGGCATTTCATATTTGCTTACAACAAGAATTTATCATTGATTTTTTACAGCATTTTAGTTACAAAAATTATATGGAGCCGAAAAAACAGAATTTAGAATTTAAGTTAAATTTTCTTTTTCGCTTATTTGTTTCATTTCGATTTTTTTCTGGTTTTTGGTTGTGAAAAGAAAAAATTGGGTTTTTTTGTTGAAAAATGTTTTCCAAAGGTGTGCCAAAAGTTTTTGATTTTGAATTTTTGTCTTTTGCTGTAATTGTTGTTGTTGTTGTTGTTTGCTTTGTCAAGTTTGTTGCGAACGTTTTTGAGTGGTTTTTGTTGTTGTTGTTGTTGTTGCATTTAACTTTTAACAAGTTTCTCTTATTTATTTTTTGCTAGATTTTTTTTTTACTTTACTTCTTTGATTAAATATATAAGCATTTTGTTAGATTTTTTTTTTTTTTTTTCACTTTGTTTATAAAATTTTACTAATAGTTGTTTAATTTTATATATTTTTTATAGGCACCCAATTTACCAATTGTTTTACTTATTTTGTTGACGTTCAAATAACGTAAATAAACAAAAATCAAATTTCTTATCAAAAGTTACTGCGTGTGTGCGAATTTTGAGTTTGACATAAAGTTTAAAAATTAAATATAAATGCAAAGAACACACAGCGAGGGGGCGTGGGGCGTGGGGCGGGAAAGGCGTGTCAGCCAGCTGGTTTGTTTCTTGCCTTCCGTGTTATAAATTTAATAAAATTATTTACAAAAAACTGGACAAGAAACTGCCAAAGCCGACTGCACAGAATTCAGTTGACTTGTTATAAAAAATTAAATGCTTTTGTATTTAAGTTTAGTTTTTGTTTTGTTTTGTTTTTTTTTTTTTTTTTGTATTTGTTTTATACTATTTAATTATTGCAGGTACTTGTGGTTACGGTTTTTGTTGCTATTGTTGCTTTGTAGTTTGTTGTTTGTAGTTTGTAGTTTGTTGTTGGTTTGTTGTAGTATGCAGCTATTTTGTTGTTTTGATTTGTTGTTAATTATAGTTTAAATTCTGTTTGTCTTTTGTTTACTTTGATTTTAGGCAACTTGCAGCGGTTATTTTAGTGTTATTTTTTTCAAAAAACAAATTGAACATGTTTCAAACAATAATTGTGAATTATATTATACAAAATACATAAACAATTATTATTATTATTATTATTATAGTTATTTTTTTTGTTTTACTTTTCAGCTACGTTTGGCGGCACCAATCAAAAACGTTCAAACTTTTCATTTACTTCTCTTTTTTTTTTGTAAGCATAACTATTTTCTTGCTTTTACTTTCAAGTTTCTTGCTCATGTTTCTTGTTAGTTATTTATTTATTAATTAATTAGCACCCTGAAAACGATTTTTCAGCCGGACTGCAATTTGTTGTATACTCTTTAATAAATTAAAATATTTATGTTTTTGTTTTTTTCTTTTTTGCTAATTTGTTGTGTTGTTTTTGTTGTTGTTGTCAGAAATTAAATTTGTCCATAAAATTCATTATTTAAACATCAAATACTGCAGTTGTGTACCTGTGTGTGTGTGTTTGTGTGTGTGTGTGTGTGTGTGTGCATGCGTGTGTGTTAGTGTGGTGTGGGTTATGTTTAAAGTTAGTTAGATTAGTTTATAGTAAACATTTCGCCCAGTCTGCAAAGGCTGGGACTTGATTTTTGTTTTCTTTTTGTAGGTGGTCTCCGAGGGCAACAACAGTTGCAACAGTAGTCATTATCTTCTTCTTCTTCTTCATGTTCTGATCATCTGATGTTCATGATCTGCGCGTAAACGTTTCTTCTCTATACATCAATCAATCACTCTTTATCAATCACTCAATCAATATTTGCTTGTGGCATTAAATTCTTCGAGGGGTCTTCATTTTTTTTTTTTGTGTGGGGGGGGGGACTTGTGGCGGGTTTTGCTTACTGCTCATTGACATCCACATTGAGCTTGGGCGTCGAGGTCAATGTGGGCGCTTCGTGTGGCAACATCATTTGGCTGGTGGGCGTGGGCGTGCGGTGCAGCTCAGCGGCTGACGGCGGCGGTGGTGTTGCGATATATAGACGCTCATCCCGCTCCCGCTCCCGCTCCTGCTCCTGCTCGTGCTCCCGCTCTTCTTCGCTGTCCGAGAGCGGCTCTATCTTGGGCTCAACCACAACCAGCTCGGACTCCGGCTCCGGCGAACGCAGCGGCTCATCAATGTCCATGGCAGCGGAGGACGCAGTTGCTCGCACTGCCGCCTCGCTGCCGCTAACATCACTAGCCTCCGCATCGCTGCCATCCGTTGTGGTCGTTGTTGTTGTGTTGCCCGTTGTTGTGGTTGTTGCCGTTGTATTGGCCGTGGTGTCCATGGCCTCCGCTGCCTCGGCCTGCTGGCGCTGCTGCTGGTGCTGCTCCTGTTCGGCGGCCATGGCCGCCTTGATTTGCAGCGCCAGCTCCTGGTGCACCTGCTGCTGCTGCTGCACAAAGCTGAGCAGCCCGCTGGCAGCGGCCGCCGCTGCCGCCGCCTCCTCGTCGCCCTCTTCCGTTAATGCGCCCCCACTGGTGGCAGTTTCGCCCCCGCTGCCTGCCACCGCCGCCGCATCGACGCTGGACGCCATCGCGTCCCGCCGCTGCATGCACTTCTCCAATGCCATTTTGAGTGATTTACGTTTACGCTGCTTTGCCGCCTCCTTGTGGGCGCTCATGACTACTGCTGCCGCTGCCGTTGCGGCCGCTTCCTATGGTGAATGATTGGCGGCCGCCGCTGCCGCCGCCGCTGCGGCGACATGGGCCGGCGCAATTGTCGCGCCGGCGGCCAGGCCAATCTCCTGTTTGTGCTCGCGGGCAATGTGCCGGCGCACCGTGTTGTTGCGCGTGAATGTCCGCTCGCAGAAGGGGCAGGGCACACGGATGCCCTGATGCCGCTGCCGGATGTGGGCGCGCAGATTCGTCTCGTAGCCGTAGAGGCGATCGCAGTACAAGCACTTCAGCTTCTTGCCGTCGGCGGTGTTCACGCTGTTCTTGTTGTTCATCTTGGTGGCGTTCCACACGTTCAGCATGTCGGCGGGCGCTATCGAGGCGGCCAAGTTGCCGGAGAGCGAGCCGTCCGCGTTCTTCAGATTCTCCAGCAGCGTGTTCGGTGTGGTCGACGAGGTGTTCGAGTTGGCCGGCGGCGGTGAAAAGTTCGAATTCTCCAGTTTCACACGCAAATCCTCGGCGCCATTCTGCAAATAGGATTTGGGAATCGTTAAAGTCGTGGCAATTTTCGATTAGGTGTGTGTTATCCTCATACATCTGTGGACTCGTCCATCAGTTCGCGTTCGTCGTCGTTAGCCTCATTGGCGCTGCCATTGTTGCGCTCCGATTTGACAATCCGATCCAGGCTGCTGGGCGCATTCCCATTGCCGGCCGTGGTGCTGGGACTGTGGTTCTCATAACGGCTGCAAATCATGTCAAGGATTCAAGTCAATTAGAACTAATCAAACTATGAAGCAATTGCTTCAATAATATAAGAAAATACTGCTAACGCCTAGATGTATGCAACAGCAAATTGTATTCAAGATTCAATAAATTTCTATTAATTTTTTTGAATATTTCACTTCAATGCTCGTCATAGAAACCATTAAGAAAGGCAACAGGGTGAAATTGTTTAACAAATTAAATTCGACGCCTAAATGTATGCAACAAAAACGTGTGGAGCTCGAAATAAAGTTAATTTCCATCCAAAATAAAAGGTATTAAAATAGGAGGTAACACAACAGAAGAATTTATATCATTATGATACGAGGTTGAATAGATTTTGATTTATAGAATTTGTGGGAAATTTGCGTTTGCACTTACCTGGACTGCGGTGAGGCACGTTCCGAGTGCATTGTGTCCGCCTCGGTGGGCGCCGTTGAGGAGGCGCTGGACGAGGGCCGATGGTACGGTGGCTTGTTGATGGGGCTGGGGCACTCCGAGGAGTTCTTGGAGCCATCGCGCAGTACACTGCCGCGAAGCTCCTGTTCGGGATAGGGACTGCGGAGGGCGCGCTTGCGCAGCGGCTCATTGAAGGACATCGGACGGTGGTACATGGGCGGCACGTAGCCGGACATGGCGCCCAGCGCTGAGGAGTTGCTTGCATGCATCAGTGAGTCGCATTCCTGTTTCAGGCTGCCTGTCGAGCCGCCCAAATGCATAGCGGCGCCAGCACCGCTGCCCAAACTGATGGGTCCATTGTTGCCGCCCATGCCGTTGCCACCACTGCCGCCGCCGCCGCCGCCGCTGCTGCTGCTGCCGCCGCCGTTGCCGCCGGCGCCAGAGCTCAATGGTCCAACGCTGCCCGCTGCCGAGCCGCTGATAATGTTGCCGCCGGCGCTGCCGCAGCGATCCAATGCACCAGCACTGGCCGCTAAAGCGCTCAAGCCGCTTGCCGCAACGCTGGCCGCGGCGGCCATGCCGCCGGCAGCTGCCATGCCGCTCAGGGCGCCAGCCAGGCTCAGCCCATTGCCGTTGCCCATGCCGCTGGCTATGGGTCCGCTGTTGCCGCCGCCAACTAAGCCGCCGCCGCCGCCGCCGACAATGCCGGCGCCGCTGCTGCCGCTTAAGCTGTTGCGCATGCTGCGCCGACCGGTGGGTGAGTCGAGCGGCGAGCTGTCGCCGCCCATGTGTTGCTGCTGTGCCTGCTGGGCGGCCAGGCGGCCGGTCTCTGTGGACAGACCTTTGACCTGTGTGCGACAAGGTTATAAAGCTGCCCATATAACTGCCTTCATTTTTGTGTACAACTCACCTGTAGACTCTCGGCGGACTTGAGAAAACTGTTGAGCGCCTCCTGGGAGACGTGCACCTCGCCCTTGTACATGAACTCCAGCAGTGCGGCCATGTTGTCTGGCGTGGTCGCCTCCAATATGATGACGCACTGGCCATTTGTGGGTGTGTTCTCGAACAGATCGGCGAACTTTTTCGAACAGGCAGCCAATATTAATTTGTGTGCTCTAAATACGGCGCCTGAAAGTGCAACAAATAAATGGAAGGGGGAGCGGTTATTTAAGCCATATTAACAATAACAAAATACCGTCAATACAATTTTTTTATTTTGTATTCAAATTTGATTTGATTTCTAGCAATTCCTTATCTAATTTAATGAAAATAAACACGGTAGAAAAATGGCATAGCTCAGACTTAGGCGCATTGCGAATAGAAGAAACTGTGGCATACTTTCCGGCTGTATGTTGTGTGGCTATAAAATGCGGCCAACAGGTGGCGCCGCAAGCGTAAAACGTTTAGAGACCTTGAACTCATAAAAATCATGTCACACACACAAGCACACACACAGTTATCATATACACAAAAGCATAATAAAAGTCGAGCAAGGAAATCATTTCCTTGCTCTTGACTACACACACACACACACACACCCGCACACCCATTTGAACTGAGTTATTATTCATCAACTTCAATGTCTTGGCCGTCGTCTTTGTGTGTGTGTGTGCCTGTGTGCGCATGTGTATGTGTGTGTCTGTGTACCTGCGACCCACAGACCCAGCTGATGCTGCTGCTGCCGTGGCGTATACGCAATATCCACTTTGCCCATCCCTCCCCTCCCTCTCCGCCGGCGACTACACCATCCTGACAATTTAAGTATATTTTTATGTGTTTTCTTGACTCAGTCGCTGCTTGCCCTTTGTTGGGGTAGGGGTATTCACTCTGTGCTTTTCGGTTGTCTCGGGTTGTCGCTGTTACAATTTTTCACGCTTCTCTCTTTTTTTTTTTTTGGCAAGCGTCTGGGTCTTAGGGTAATTCGAAAGGGTGGGTGCGGGCGGCAGGGGGCTGACTTTATGGGGCACTTGTTGGGCTTGTGCCACGCGCAGTACTTAAGCCAAATTGAAACGAGAAGCGAGGCGCGTCTGCGGCTCTCAAGAAAATCTAGAGAGCGGACATATTTACGCCCAAAGAGCGCACATACATAAGCCAAAAGTTTCGACAGTTGGCTGCAAAAATATATACATATATATATATATATATTATACAATACAACGTGTGTGTAAGTCGGCGTGTCTTTAATCTAATCGAAGTGCAGCTGGAGGAATTATTTCGGCGAAAATGTGTGTCAATTTCTGCTCGACTCGCGCTTGATAAGCGTGGCCAATCAGCAAAGAAACTATATATGTATATAAACATATATATATATGTAGAGCTGAAATCAAAGTAAAAGAGGGGTATGGAGAGCGGGAAGAAGAGAAGGAGAGGCCAAATCTGCTTGAACAATGCGCATGTTTCAAAATATGTCTAATCTTAGGCATGATCTATTTGGAATTGCGCGATTGGTATTCGTTATATAACAAATATCAATTTATTTGTATACCTTATATTAAGGTAGTGTATCCGTATCCTTGGCATATCTAGCGCCAGCTTCCTAATAAACATCCAATGCAGATTAGATAAACTTTTACCAAGGTCTGGACATTGCCAATTTATATATATATTTATATACATTTTTTTATATATGTTTTTTCCCATCTTATGTATCATTTATATCTTCTATATATTTATCAAGCTTGAAATATATACTATTTTATGTATAAATATATTTCTCATCTTTATATTTTTATATATGATTTTCCTATATATCTTTATATGCATTTATTTTATATATAATATATTATATAATTTTAAATAATTTGATTTACTTAATACATAAATCTGTAAATGAATTGTGAAAACCTTTAAGCTAGCCTTTTTCCTTGATGCACTTAAAGCCTAAATAGGGAATGCAAGCATAAGAGTTTCTTCCTTATTTTCGTCTATTTCACAACTGAGTACAGGGTATACAAATATATATTTCGCTTGTGTAATCAAAATGCATGCGCAAATAATAAACAACTTTTTTGTTTGTTGTTGTTGATTATAATTTTATTTCGTTTTCGTTTTTTTTCGAATTATTTTTGTATTCCATTTTTTTTTTGCTGATTTTCTAACACTTGATACAACAGAAATTGGGTCACAAGCGGCGCAAAGAAAAACGCAAAAAACTTGTAGGAACCAAAGCACACGCACATTTTTTTTTTATACATTTATACGAATATTTGCTGATAAACAAGAAAATATATAAATATGTGTGTATCAGAATGAAGAAAAACAACAACAAAGCCATACTAATTGCCAGGTCTTGTTTACGTTCTGCCTCGCATATTCTACATATACATCTATTAGACGTTATATATATATTTATATATTGCCTAAGCGCAACAGTTAACCGAAATATGCTTTGATTTGGGGGTTTTTTATTCGGCCGAAACGCATTTAATGCACTTTAAAATTAATTATTACGACCTTCTATTTGTTTCGGAAAACACGCAATCTTATCGTTTCGATGAGTCATTTGTGTGTTTTAATGTGTTGCTCGAATTTTGATCATAAGTGCAAATTGAAACGGCGCCAAAGTTTGTTTTTAATATGGCTGTAAATGGTCAAGGCTTCTATGATGAGATAGCAGCTCCAATGTTGTTAGATATGATTAGCTGGTATTTATTCACATTACCAGTTGATAAGTTGCACATTTAAAGAACGCCATTAAGTTGTATAAGCTTTAAGCTGCAACCTGATAAAATAATCTAAAAGCTGTTTTTTAATGCGCTTGCACAGCTTGAGAAGCTTTCAGACCTAGCTTTGTTCACAACCGTTAGATAAGCCTTAACTGGAGCTAAATTTAAAAGCGTAAAAGCTTTGCTTTCATGTGCTTGCAAAGCTTTAAAAGCCTTCAAGCCTAGCCTAGATTGGATTAAGGGAGAAGCGAAGTTTTCTTTAAATCGTCTAAAAACTTCGTTTTTATGTGCTAGCTAAGTTTAAGTGAGAGATATACAATGAAGCATTCTGTCTATGATAAATTTAACGTAAAATTGATAAAACTTCTCTGCAAAAAGATGCCCACGATTAATGGAGATTCCCGAGAGCTAAGCCCGTGACATGCCCGAATCCATTAGTACACTTAATACCTAGTACTTGTTAACGGCTGTGTGTTGCCTAACGGTAAAAATCAACCCCCAAAAAAAAACTGATGAAATGGCCCTAGGCCAAGCAAATGTTCATTTCGTAAAAATGCTCATTTCTCAAGTGCTGAAAATGCCCGAAACGAAACGAATGCAGCCCCAGCTACAGATCCAAAAAAAAACAAGATATAAAAAAGGAGAACTGAAAAACAGCTCAAAAACCAAAGCAAAATACATATGAATATTAAAAAACAATCGAAAACATACGCTATTTGCTTTTGTTCGAAGGGCTAGCAAATATTTAATGCTTCATTTCAAAAAGTACCAAGAAAAAAAGAAGCAGGAAACCTGACCAAAAGTTAGAAATGGGAAATCAAACATGAATATGAATATGAATACGAGTATGTGATATTTTAAAGCGCAAAATATTAAAAACCACAATTAAAAGCAGCCAAAACAAAGCAAGAACGAAAAGTAAAAAAAAAAAAACAAAATTGGGGTTTATTTTTTTTGGGGAAGCATTTCAAAATTTTAATCAAAAGTAGTAGCACTTCGATTGATATGGATGACAACGACTGCAGCTAGGCGAGGGTTTTTTTTTGGGCATTTCTGTTATTTGTATTGTTTTTTTTTCTGGTTTTTGGCTAGCCAGGATTTGTGTGGATACCCCTGACACGGGCTGGCAGTCCGCCGGCCGGGCGTATGGCAACAGACTGAGCCGCACTCCTAGAAGGTATTATACATAGCATATAGAAATCCACAATCGACAAAAAAATAAAAATATGCACGAGTACGTCAACAAACAGACATGTGAAGCGTACAACTGGCGGCTGCTGTAAATACGCGGCGAACATGTTTATTCGACGCGGGCGGACGCGGCGTATGCGCAATTCTTATTTATTTATTTTCAATTTAAAGCGCCGGCACTTTAAACATAGGTTTTTTGGAGCGACAGCGAAAGGCGCACATTAAAATATTTATTTCGAGATGCTGGCACACACACACACACGCGCGCGTATTTAAAGGCCAAATCAGAAGCCCGCGAAGGGTCCCAAATGAGCTGGCACAGCATCAAAAGCCACCCAACAAAATCACTGACCTCACACAATAAGCGGCGGCATTTCTCTGGCCTAAAGACTAAAGACACACAGGCCTAAATAAAAGCCAAATATATACATACATAATATATATATATATATATATATATATATATATATATATATATATATATATATTGTACCTATATAACTGCGCTAAATGCCCATGCGCTCGCCCACATTTATATTCACTTAATAAGCCGCCATAAAACTGTAGTAAAATGCTGTAAATGAAATAGTAACACACACACATGCAGACACACGCAGACACACACAGACACACACACGCACAGCTCAGCAGACAGCGAGACGGCTCATAAAAAGGAGCCGCGTCTTTGGGTACCCGGAAAAATCAATGTCTGTCTCTTTTGGGCGCTTGCAAAATTTGCAGGTCGCCTTTTGGCTTTTATATGCCACTTTTTCGGCGGCTTATAAGCCAAACGGAACGAAAATGAAGCCAAAAACAAAGGAGGCAAAAAAAGCTCAATTTATATGCCCCCGTCTCATTGTCTGTTTATCTTTTTGTCTGTCCTTCCGTCTCTTTTTCTTATTAACACACCAAGTCGAGTTATTGATTGTAAGCCCAAGTTGAGTGCGTGTCATTTAAGTCCAAAAATAGACCGAGTACTTCTGTGTGTGCCTAGCTTTACAGGGCATCATTTGACTGTCATTCACAAAATTACAGGGCATCTCTAGCTTATCATCTGAAAATTATTGCATATATTCAACAATATGCAACTTCCTGCCAAGTTCTGGTTTTCGATTTCGCTAACATTTATTATAAAGATTTATAGCATATTTCTAGGACCTAAGTTTGACCTAAAAAATGCTACCATGTTCCGATTTTTAATTTCGACAAAATTTCTGTACACGTTTTTGCCTATCATTGTGTAATATTTTAGCTCTTTATTTGAACCGAAAAAAAATCGTTCTTATTTCACTAAAATTTTTGGCAAAAATGTTAATCAATATACAAATTCATAAAACATAAACAAGCAAATAAAGCGTGTCAGTTCATTATTTGAGCCGAAAAACTACGCATTTGTCCGATTTTAAGCAGCTCCAAAAATAATTTATATCATGCTTCTGGTATTTTGGGTCAAATTCCCTTGCCTATCATTAACAAGTTTAAATTTCTCACCATGTTCTGCTTTTCGAATTCTCCTGAATTTCTCATCAAACCATTTAGCATAGCTTTAGGCTTCTTTTTTAATGAAGCATGAACAATACATTTTAAAAGGACTTTTTACCTATGTTTATGCTTAAAAGTATGCAATATTTTATTTTTTAAATTAATTTATTTCTATTAAGATATATGTATATAAAAATTGTAAAAACTTTGAAGTTTGATATTTAATGAACTTTTAATTCAATGGCTCAAGTTAATGGATTTCGATCCTTGAATAGTTATCATATCCAAAAGTTCTAATTAATTTTATTTCTAAGCAAATATAGTTAATTTAAATTTATTAATCGCTTTGCTGCAGTTCACATTGCATTTGGTGTCAAAATTCAAACTAATAGGCAAACATATTTTCAATCTTAATGCATTCGCAATTGTTCTTAAAAATATATATATATATATATTTATCAGAGATATTTGCACTCACCATCGCAGGATAATGTGACATCGGCCAACAGATCCGATTTGAATAGATTGGAGAAGGTAATAGCCAAATTGGACGAGTAACTGTTCCATTTGAGGCAGAACTGCTGTTGTGGATCCATTTTGTTAGTTGTACTTGTTGTGTTCCTTTGGTTGACTCGCTCGTATGTGGCTTAAGGGATCGGGCCAAGGCCAATGGAAGCTGTCCACAATATGCGGACCGTTCGGTTTGTTATTATTATGTGTGTTCTTCGATTGTTTGTTATTAATTTTAACGTTGTTTTCAATGTTGCCAAAATGGAATTTCGTCGAATTAATTAGCCGGCTTTGCATAAAAGCAATTTGGCCGCTATTAATTCTTAGCCAAAGGGAATTTTGCAATTGTTTGTTGCGTTTGTAAAGCGTGAACGACTTTGGATGCCAACGCATAAAATTATTTATTTATATTGAATTATTCAATTATATCTGGTTTCGATTAATATTATTTAGTTGCAACGTTGCCTTTTATTATTTATTTATTTACCTTTATTTTTGTTTTTATTTATATTTATATTTATTTATTTATTTTTATTTATTTTGTGAGAGAGCAGTTGATTTTCAGGACGCGCACTCCGAACACGACAAATGCTGCAACGAGAATGACGAGAAAAATTGTTTGGATTGTGATTAGTTAAGATGAATGCGTTGTTGACATAACATAACACACAAGAAGACAAATTCAGTGCCTGCTTTGCTTTGCTTTGCACTTTCTCAGCTTCAGTTCCGAATGTAAAATGCAACAACAACAACAGCTCTTGTATAAGATATAAAGCTCGCAAGCAACAAAAGCTCGCTCTCCCTCTCTCTCTCTCTCTCTCTTTCTGTCTCTATCTAGCCTCTGTGAGCTTCGTTAAGTTCTGAGAAAAAAGTTGTGTGGGAGCCTCAAATTTCCTCAAGTTATGGCAAAATCGAACGCAATGCATTTGTATGGGTAATTCTATATTGATAGCGACTGCGGCTGCGACTGCGACTGCGACTGCAGCATTTCCGTTGTTGGCCCAAAGAGAACGGGCAGCAGCCCAATTTATTAGAAATTAATCGAGCATTTAGTATGTGTGTGAGTATGGGTGTGTGTGTGGAGAGGCCAAAAGATATACGATTTAATTCCTGGAATTAGGCGCTCGCTCAAAAATGCCGCCGTTCAAGATGCAACCAAAACTTTTAACTTCTTTTTATTTAGTTTTCTTTTTTAGCTTTTTGCGACTTTTATATGCGTCTACGCTGTGGCCCGTGTCTACGGTTTCCCCTGCCTTTGCGTGCTTAGCCTTGGACGCGCTGCCCAATTCCCAATTCCTGGAAACTGCAGGTGACGGACACGGCAGCGACTGCGACTGCGACTGCGGCTGCGGCTGCGCGTTGCATGGGATGCGCTTTTTTTCCTCGAATTTGTTTAATCGTTAGAAAAATGCGAGCGCGTTTTTTACTTTTTTTTTCTCGTTCGAATACCCTGTAGCTATTGCAAATGAATAAAAGGGTATCATTCCTCAAGCCATAAATGATATACATGCATACGTATGTGTGTGCTCTTGATCAGAGATCCTTAAGAGTTTGATCGTTTTCTCATCAATTATATCACTTGATATCGATAAATATCTATCTGCACTATATAGATACATTTGGATCCCCTTTTAAGTTTCATAATAATCGGACCTCGAGCACCAAAGTTAGCACAGCGTGGAACTAAAAGAACAGGAAGCATGGCAGCTTTGTCAACGATAGTACAGAGTACCACATAGCCGGGCACTCCCGACTAGAGCACTCTTTACTTATTTTCGTATAACTTGCCTTGTGTACCTCGGCCTGCACACAGGCTCAGCCTCGGCCCCGCCTTCGCCTCGTCCTTCTGGTGCGCTGTTATGTGGAACCAGAACCTTCGCCTTCGGCCCGCGGGCCATGCGGTATAAAAATCAACGGTTTCGCTTGCTACGCTGAATGGTTGGCCCCAAAAACATATCGGTAAAAAGCTATTAACAAATTCCTGTGAAGTTTGCAGTTGTGCTTCGCCTTTTTTTCAGGTTTGCTCAACTGAAGTAGCAGCAGCAGCAGAGGGAATTTTTGATCGAAGGGGAGCGGATATTTAGTGTGCATGTGAGTTTGTCTGTGTGTGGAGTCTTTTTGGCTATAACAGTAATTGGCTAGTGACTGGAAGTAGTTAGTGAATAAAAGCCATTTCAGCTATTGGGCGAGGTGTGAGAGGAGAGTGTTGAGAGTTTACCTATGTTGGGTAAGTTATGATATAGATCATGAATATACACCTATATGTATATGTATATAATTGAATTTCAATACTTTGTTTCAGTTCAATTCTTCAAAAGGTTAGCCGGATATCTTACATTAACACTGTGCTGTTAACAGAGCTAGTTCTTAACATTTTGCTCATAACAGAGAGCGCAATTTAACATAAATAGCTTTATGTAAATATATTCTTTAGCATGTTTCAAGTTTCACTTCTGACAAACCCCTAGAAAGACGGAAATGTTCATTTTCGCTTACAGCTTCCTTTTCTGCACCCAAAATCAGATCCTTAAGCTTCTTTAGCCTTGCGCTATGTAAAGCTTTGCATGCGACTGTACTTTTTGCCTACAAAAAAACAAACGCAAAATTGTACGCAGCTGCATTTGAAATGCCTTTTTCAAACTTTTCAATTACACAAACAACAATGCGAGGAGTAGGCCTCCTTCGAAGCGAAATACAAAAAAAAAATGTAGAGCAAATTCTTTGGGATCAGTTCGCTTGATTCAGCTTCGGGCAGCCAAATGACGACACCTGAAGGTAGTTGGAACTTGAAATTATTTTTTTTTTCATTTGTCTTTGATTCGGAGTCGAAGGCAAAATAGCTCAGGTATCTGTTGAGCTATCTGCTCTGAGGCCATGTGCGAAGCGCACAAGAAAAACAACGCGTAAATCCTTTTCACACACACACACACACACACACCCATACACACAGTGTGTTCCTGGAAGACGCACACACAAAGAAGCCAAGCAGCTTTTTTTTTTTTAAATATTTTTTTGCTTTTTATTATTGTCCTCTAACTGGAACAGGAAGATCTTGGGGGTTGTTCTACGCTCGCAACGCACTTTTCTAATAACAAAAGAGAATCATAAAAATTGAAAACAAAAAGTTCAAATCAAATTACGCAATAGCTGCTCAACACAAAGCTGCATTTGCAATCTCCAAAAATAAACATAAGAAAATAATAAAAATAGTAGTCAACATTATTGATAAATAAAATTCAATATTTAATTGTTATATTTTTCTGGTTTTTGGCTAATTGACCTTGTGCACTATTTTGATATTGTCGAAATCAGAAAGAGGGGAGAACAAAATATCAAAATGAATCACGATTCATTTTTCAGAGCTGCAGTTCATAAATTGAAGCGGGTTCTCTACCGTGCGCGCTCTCTCTCTCTCTCTCTCTCGATCGCCGTTTATCCCTGTCTCCCTCACTCTATCTCTCTCTCTCTCTCTCCCTCTCTCCTGCTCTAGCTCTTGCCGCATTTGTTTTTGCTGCCGCATTCGTTTAATTTGATTTGAATGTCAATTAATTCAAACAAGTGACGCGTTCTATTATGAGAGCTGCCAGATTTGTTTTTTCCTTCTCTTTCCTCATTCTACTCTATCTATGAATATCTCTGCTTCTTGTTCAAGCTTCGCAGAGTAAAGTATATAAAGCAAAACTTTGTGTTTTTTAGGTTTTTGTTTTTTGTTTAGTATCCTTGCACTTAACAACTATTTATTTCTCTATAAGGTATACATACGTTTTTTTAATTACGAATAAAATCTAGTTTTTTCTGCACTCAACCAAATTTTTGTTTACCCCACGTACAATATATTCAATGTGACTATCACGAACCTTGGTTCAGCCTTATATCAAGATCATGTTCTTAAAGAGCCTTTTTCTTATCGAAAAAGAAGCTATTTCGAATCAGAAATAACACTCAAAGTTCCCATCTTGCTCTAAGACTTTGTGACTTGAACAAATTATCTGTCGAGAATCGTATATTTATATGAAATTCATTTCTCACATTTCTCAGAAAGAAATTCTTAGAATAAAGAAATTGCTTACATCTCTTAAGATAAGAAAATGTATAAATAAGTACGGCAGGCTATTTAAGAATTTCGGTGAAATAAGAAAAAATATTTGACGAATGATAAAAACACGTTACAACACAATTTATTTATTTTTGTATTATATTTGACAGGCATGTTCCAAGAGATACGGAGAATCAAATAGATTGAAATCTATGCAACATTCAACTGGACTCTGTTCAAATCTTTCTATTAATAAAGTAAGATAGATCTTGAATGTTTTAACATTTAAAACAAATGGATTTACTTTTTCCAGTACTTTGATCATGTCTTCCACAAAGAATCCTAGTCTGTATCAAATGAATCTTAACCTCAATAAAATTGTCTGTTATAATTCGCAACTTGTTCTATTTGATTGTTCCATGACAAGTACAGTACATGTTTTGATCTTAAATTTGCTGATTTATAGACAAGTATCTTGGGCTTGTGCCCAGCACACCCCCCATCGAGAGAAATGGGGCGAAGGGTAAGCAGACATTTGCTTTGAACTTGTCGCCGTGGCAAGTGTATCTCCTTTTTTAATGGTTGCGACTGTCAGCTGCCCCAGGTTGATGGCTGCAGTTGACAGCGCAGTTGAGAAAGGAACCCTGCAAGAGTTGTAACTCGATGCGGGTCTCCGGCATAAGTATCTATTACACATATCCGCATAATGTTGCAGCAGAGCTGTTGCAAAAATCCGGCGCGTGTCAGTGTCTGTGTGTGTGTCTGTGTGTGTGTGTGTGTGTGTGTGTGTGTGTGTGTGTGTGTGTGTGTGTGTGTGTGTGTGTGTGTGTGTGTGTGTGTGTGTGTGTGTGTGTGTGTGTGTGTGTGTGTGTGTGTGTGTGTGTGTGTGTGTGTGTGTGAGTGTGCGAGTGTGCGAGTGTGTGTGTGTGTGTGTGTGTGTGTGTGTGTGTGTGTGTGTGTGTGTGTGTGTGTGCGAGTGTGCGAGTGTGTTGGTTTGTTTATCTAAGAATAATATTATCGCATAATTCGTTGTCTAAGAATATAAGCAAGGCATAATCACAGTGCAATACCAGCTGTCAAACAGTTGCGATTTGGATGCCCGGACCACCCGTGGCGCACACATCAAAGGCAAGTGTCAACCTGGCTGCAATGTGTTGCATAAACGGGGCGTGTGCTCAGCAGGGGGCGGCTTAAGACAACAGGAGGCACGCCAATGCGGATTATGACATGCCCCCAAATGTAAGCTAGCCTGGCCTGGCCTGGTCTGGCAGGCCTGGCATGGTCGCGCCCCCAGCCTTGCAACCGCCAAAGAGTTGCATACTAAGCAGCCCGGGCAGAACATAACCAGCCCACAACAATGAATAACAATTGTTGAACAATATGCGATACTTGTGGCTGGCTTCAGCTGAAACAAGAGCCAAATACACAGAATTTGTGCCAACTTTTCAGTTGGTTGGCATTTAACAGCTGATGCAATTTCGGAAACATATGTATGTGACATAACATCTATCGCGGATTCGACTGAATTTAGCTGGCCAGACAGAGACATTTAGAT